CAGAGAGGAAGCAAAGGGAATGGGAAGTTATTGGTTAACCTGGGTAAAGAATTTCAGTATGGGATGATGAAAAAGTTTAGTATAGGATGATTAAAAGTTCTGTTCATCTGGATATGATAGTGACAGTTGCACAGTAACGTGAATGTACTTAATGCCACAGAACTGTACATTTTAAAGGGTGAAAATGGATAATTTTGTATTATATAATTTTATTACAATTTTTAAAAGATGGGCGGAAAAGGAAGAACCTTCAATGAAGACTGAAAAGAAAAGAGCAGGGAGGGTAAATGAGGGTTAAAAAGACAATACACTATCAAAAGAAACAAGTGAAGAAAATTTTAGGAACGAGTGATAGTGCACTGCAGAGAACCTGAGTGTGAAGGAGTAGAAACTGTTCTGCTGCAATATAGTACTTAAGTTCCTAGGAAGTTCTCCCTTACCAAAACAGTGCATTTTAAAAAAAAATCTCCTTGGGAAATGGGGGACTTACAACTACGAAGTTCAAACTTGTAAAAGCCAAATTTTTTCCCTTAAAAAATTTTAAACATATATATTTCAAATAGACATTGTATTTATAGCTATAGCTATTGTTCTATGAATACAGCTATAAAATTTAAACCATGTTAAACAGATGCAGTACTTAATTACATCAAGTTATGGTTCAAGAGTAACTGCCTCTCTTACACACTCCTAATATCCTCCTTACAATAAAGCAAAAAGCCACTCACTCAAAATTGCTATTTCTGAGGTGCAGCAGCTTTGCTTTTATCCCTCAAGTCCAAATTGCTAGTCACCAATTGCTAATAATTCGTACTCCTTAGGACGTTTTAAACCAGGGGTTGGTAAAATAGCCTTCAGGCCAAATCTAGTCCACCACCTGTTTCTGTAAGTAGTTTTACTGGAACACAGCCATGCTCACTCATTTATGTATAGTCTATGGCTGCTTGCATGCTACAAGAGCAAAGCTGAGTAACTGCAACAGAGATCTTACAGGCAACAAAGACTAAAATTGTTTATTATCCGGCTTTTTGCAGAAAAATTTGCCAGAGCTTTATTTATTTGTTTACTGTCTGACTCCTCTTATAAGAATATAAGCTCCAAGAAGTAAGTCATTTTTTGGTCTATTTATTCACTGCCATAATTTCAGTGTTGAGAACAATGCCTATTATAGCAGATTCTCAATACATACTGTTGAATGATGAAAATTCCTAATTAAATTGTAAATTATATTATTTCTAAGTTGGGGTATTGAAAACAGTTTCTAGGATATATAAAAAATTTTTTTGGCAACAGGGTCTTGCTCTGTCACCCAAGCCGTAGTGCAGTGGTGCAAACACGACTCACTGCAAGAACTTCCTGGACTCAAGGGATCCTCCTGCCCCAGTCTCCCAAGTAGCTGGGACCACAGGCGCACACCACGCCTGGCTATTTTTTTTTCTTTATTTTTTGTAGAGGCGGGGTCTCACTATGTTGCCTAGGCTGGTTCTGAACTCCTGGGCTCAAGTGATCCTCCCAAAGTGCTGGCATTACGGGTGTGAGCCACCGCACCTAGCCCTCTAGAAATATTCTTTTTTCTTTCAGTCATGCTCCTTCTGTAGGAATATTCTCAATACATAGTCAGAAAATTTCCATACTTAATGTTCTATGGCATTAAGTAGTATATTAATGCCAGAAATTGGTCAGAAAATGTTAAATTATTAAAAATGGTCTACTAGCTTGTCTACATTATTTCAAATAATCTCTTATGAATATAACTTAAATCAAGCTCCAGGGTACAATTCAAACAAACAAGCTGACAGTCATACTAAACATTTTTAAAAAATCACATAAAGGCTATTGTTTTTTCAAAAGTGCTTCTTTGGCCAGGCACGGTGGCTCACACCTGTAATCCCAGCAGACTGGGAGGCCGAGGCGGGCAGATCACCTGAGGTTGGGAGTTGGGAGACCAGCCTGGCTAACACGGCAAAATCTCATCTCTACAAAAAATACAAAAATTAGCCAGGAGTGGTGGTGGGCACCTTAGTCCCAGCTACTCAGGAGGCTGAGGCTGTGATGAACCAAGATCGTACTACTGCACTCCAGCCTGGGCAACAGAGCGAAACTCCATATCAAAAAAAAAAAACAAAAAACAAAAAAACAAAAACAAAACGGCTTATTTTCATAGAGGAAAAGTAATACTTTAGTGTCAAAACTGACCCAGATTCAGAACCTCTGTAATAACATCCCATAAGTTATTTGCATGTAACAACCACTACCCCTTATAGCCAAATAAACTTCCTTTTATGTATGCCACTTTAACTGTCCCCTCTGCTTCTTGTGACCATTTTCAGCTTAAAGTCTAACCACAAGGCACATATTGTTTTCTATAATAAAGCCAAAATAAGTAATTTTAAGTACATGGCTGCCAAGTAAATATAAAGCAGAAAAACAAAAACAAAACTAATCATGCATCCATCTTTTACTATCTGAGTACTTCATAAAACAGTAAGAGTCATAAAACAGACTCAGAGAAATACAAGAAGAAATAAACAATATTTTTCCTACATTTCTGCCCACACTGGCATGCTACACTAAATGTCATAAATAGCCACAGACACATTTTGTCAGCTTTGTGAATGCTATTAAACAAAAGAGCATAAAAGTAGTTTAAACCTAAAATGCCAACTAGTTTTACATAACAAGGGAAATGAATACATTTACTTAGCACTTACTGTTAGCCAGAAAACATGCTAGGCTCTTTCACATAACACTTAACCCTTAAAATTACCTTTCAAGGCTCATCATTCTTATGAGACAACTGAGCTCACAGAATCAAATAATGCAGTGACAGAGCAATTAAAGGCTAGAGTGAGAACAAGGTCTCTGTAGTTCTCCTCTTGTATCTTTCTACCACACCAGTTTCCCCAAAGAGTGGAATGTGAGATGATTTTATACAACACCAGACATTTTATATTTTAATAGTTACGTAACTTGTATTTTAAAAAAAAGCTTATCATATGAAATTCATTATTTCATGGATATTATTCTTTAGGACGAGGCTAAATAAAAACAAGATTTTTTAAAAAGCTATTAAGTAAATGATAGGCCAGGGTTATATGAACATGGGAAAAACTCTCATGACCGTATGAACAATGAAATTTGAAAAATGCTCCAAGCAAAGAATTGCTTCCTAAAAACACACTGGTCAACATGCATGGTTTTTGACTAAAGAAAGCAAAGAGATGATTTACAAATAAAATTATAGACATACCTGACATAGTTTGATCAAGTTTGTGGATAAGAGATTTTTTAGCACACTCAACATCAGGACTTGGGTAATCCAAAACTTGCCTGCACCAAACTAATGGACTAACCGATTTCTGCATTGGTGTAAGTTTTTTCTTTGGTGATGAATACAGCCTAGAAGACGACAACAAAAAACAGAAAATTCCTTATTAAGCACAAGGTTATATAAAACAGGGATCCTTTTGGATCAATTTAAATAGGGGAGAAGGGAGTAAAAATCATGGAGTATATTTTAAATCACCCACATTTACTTACTGCACAGGAAATTATAGTAAAACAATCAATATAAATCCAAATTTCAAATACTAAGTGAACCCAAATGAGGTATTCCTAAAGTAGGTGCTTTATTAAGGCTATGAGAAAACACCTGTCTTTCCAGCAGTTTATTCTATTTTCAACAGTACTTGACTAACTCCTTAATACATCCATATTATTAAATCTAGCTAGGAAGCAGGAGGAGGAGCTAAATTCCTTGCTCTGCACCTATTTCCCTTCCCACCACATACACAAACATCTACCATTAGTGATTCATTCCTTTTAGTTAAGCAGTATCCAATGTGTAGTCCTCTTTTCAAATGACAATGTGTTGGACAAAAGCAATACTTTAAACCCTAAATAACTAAATGTGAATCAATTACTAAATTGCTTCAGTTTCAGAAAAGAACCAAGAGACAGTATTTTATAAGCTAATGGCAAAGGTATACAGAAGGGAAAAGTTGAGCAGAAAATACGGAGGCATGTACATAAATTTTCTACATCATGTTTCTCAGATTAATCCAGATTATGTCAGTTATTATTAATTTATTTCAAGTGTGACCCCTTAAGAAAAATGCAAATAGTTATTGATTTCTAACCAGGGTGATTTTCAAATTAAGACACATTAAGTGGAATTTATGAAGCAAAATTAGGCTTTGATACTGTATATCTAGTGAAAGATTTCAATAAGGATAATTTCACATTTACATTAATCAAGTTAGTGTAATAATATGAAGTGTTGTTTCACTGTAAATATTTAAATAAATGCATATCTACAGAACTACAATAGACAAACTACTTTTAGTGGCAACAGTACCTTTTCCATCACTTGTCTCTTTTCCCCATCTATAACTTAGGTCTGTCACTCACATGCATTATTTAGTTTTGATCAAGATCATCAAGGCTAACTAATGGGGGTAGATGACCATTTCTTTAGTCTACAATCCAAATTCATTTGACAAAAATAGTGAAACAAAATCTCAATTTATGGAATAACTATCAATTCAAAATGAAATCAGTGGGGTTCATTCTATTTCCAATTTAAATACTGCAAAGATTCCTTAACAAAAATCTCTACCTCAGCAACTCCACTTTAAAAATTGTCGTAAATATTACATACTGATATCCTATGTCAGCGAATGTTTAGCAAGGTAAACCTCTATAGATGAATAATAAACAATAATAAAACAATTTTATGACATTATCACTACTCTTTCAATACATATATTTTTCCTACACTGACTGGTTTTACATAATTTACCCACATGGCTCACATGTACTAAGTACATAGTCCCCCTACTGCTGGCTATAAAATTCCTTTTTAAAAAGTGCAAAGCAGGGCTGGGTGCAGTGGCTCATGCCTGTAATCCCAGCACTTTGGGAGGTCAAGGCGGGTGGATCACCTGAGGTCAGGAGTTCAAGACCAGCCTGACCAACATCTCTACTAAAATTACAAACCCCAACCCCTTGCCTGCGTGTGACGTCAGAATCGCCATGGCCAGCTATCTGAACCAGCAGGGCTGCCCAGGAGCTGCAGGACAAGCACCAGGAGCCCCTCCGGGTAGCTACTACCCTGGACCCCCCAATAGTGGAGGGCAGTATGGCAGTGGGCTACCCCCTGGTGGTTATGAGGGTCCTGCCCCTGGAGGACCTTATGGACCACCAGCTGGTGGAGGGCCTTATGGACACCCCAATCCTGGGATGTTCCCCTCTGGAACTCCAGGAGGACCATATGGCGGTGCAGCTCCAGGGGGCCCCTATGGTCAGCCACCTCCAAGTTCCTATGGTGCCCAGCAGCCTGGGCCTTATGGACAGGGTGGCGCCCCTCCCAATGTGGATCCTGAGGCCTACTCCTGGTTCCAGTCGGTAGACTCAGATCACAGTGGCTATATCTCCATGAAGGAGCTAAAGCAGGCCCTGGTCAACTGCAATTGGTCCTCATTCAATGATGAGACCTGCCTCATGATGATAAACATGTTTGACAAGACCAAGTCAGGCCATATCGATGTCTACGGCTTCTCAGCCCTGTGGAAATTCATCCAGCAGTGGAAGAACCTCTTCCAGCAGTATGACCAGGACCGCTTGGGCTCCATTAGCTACACAGAGCTGCAGCAAGCTCTGTCCCAAATGGGCTACAACCTGAGCCCCCAGTTCACCCAGCTTCTGGTCTCCCGCTACTGCCCACGCTCTGCCAGTCCTGCCATGCAGCTGGACTGCTTCATCCAGGTATGCACTCAGCTGCAGGTGCTGACAGAGGCCTTCCGGGAGGAGGACACAGCTGTACAAGGCAACATTTGGCTCAGCTTCGACGACTTCGTCACCATGACAGCTTCTTGGATGCTATGACCCAACCCATCTGTGGAGAGTGGAGTGCACCAGGGACCTTTCCTGGCTTCTTAGAGTGAGAGAAGTATGTGGACATCTCTTCTTTTCCTGTCCCTTTAGAATAACATTCTCCCTTGCTTGATGCAACACTGTTCCAAAAGAGGGTTGAGAGTCCTGCATCATAGCCACCAAATAGTAAGGACCAGGGCTGCGGCCACACAGGTAGGGGCCTGATGGAAGAGAGGATGGAAGTTGAATGTCCTGATGGCCATGAGCAGTTGAGTGGCACAGCCTGGCACCAGGAGCAGGTTCTTGTAATGGAGTTAGTGTCCAGTTAGCTGAGCTCCACCCTGATGCCAGTGGTGAGTGTTCATTGGCCCATTACCGTTACTACCTGTGTTCCCTCACCAGGCTATCCTGTCACACGAGCCCATTTTCTCCAAAGTGGAATCTGACCAAGCATGAGAGAGATCTGCCCATGGGACCAGTGGCTTGGATTCCGCCACACCCATAAATCCTTGTATGTTAACTTCTAACTGCCTGGGGCTGGCCCTGCTCAGACAAATCTGCTCCCTGGGCCTCTCTGGCCAGGCTCTGCCTCCACGGCTGGAAGCCCTCACTTGCCTGGCATGCTCTGCTCGGCTTCAGTCTCCAGGGGACAGTGGGCACCTCTCCCTGCCAATACTTTTTTTAATTTGCATTTTTTTTTCATTTGGGGCCAAAAGTCCAGTGAAATTGTAGGCTTCAATAAAAGGATGAAACTCTGGGGAAAAAAAAAAAAAAATACAAATCCCATCACTACTAAAAATACAAAAAATTAGCCGGGTGTGGTGGTGGGCGCCCATAATCCCAGATACTCAGGAGGCTGAGGCACAAGAATCGCTTGAACCCAGGAGGTGGAGGTTGCAGTGAGCCAAGGTCACAATCACACCACTGCAGTCCGGCCTGGGCAACAGAGCAACACTGTCAAAAAAAAAAAAAGAAAAAAAAGCCTCAAAAACATTATGTTCAGTGAATGCATACTGACACTTAAGAATCCATTTACATGAAATGTCTAGAAAAGCATATGGAGCAGAAAAAGAGATTTGTGGTTGCCTAGGGCTGGAGGTAGGAATGGGAATGAGATTTCTTTTCAGGGTGATATAGATGTTCTAAAATTATAAGGTAGTGATAATTATGGTAATGGTTTGTCATTGTAAATATACTAAATTCACTAACATACAATGACTTTTTATGATATGCTGATTATAAGCTATTAATAAATGTTATGGTATATAAATTATATCTTGATAAAGGTGTTTTTAAAAAGTTGCAACGTGCTTTGGCATCTTTAAAAATACAGAAACTACTACAAACTAAATTAATACAACAATAATTCAAAATCAACTAAAACATCACAACTGCCCCCCCACCCTGCAAATCCCTCATTTCTTTCCTGTTGTTAATAGCATTATAATTCTTTCAGTTATAAAGACTAAAACCTTGTGAGTAATTTAGGATTGCTCCACCTTTTTTTTTTCCTACCCTTATCAAAATAAACTATTTTTTCTCCCATTCCTGTACTTGCTCCCTAACTGGGAATACAGAATGCTCCTTCCTTCCATTAGCAGATTAAAGCAACTTGTCCATACTTATTCATAGTGATGAAAAGGGAGAAAATGATACAGTAAGCCCTGGGTACACTAACTTTCTATATCACTCTATCCTCTTATCTGAAGTCTAAAAACAAAGGGCGTTGGCCCATATGATATTGGCACAAAATTCCTTGGTCAGGTAACCTTTGGTTGAGGTTTCAAAGTACATACTTCTAAACTTGCCAGAGGACACATGAGCTGAGTTGTATCACATAACTGAATTCACCTTTAGCAGGACCGAGTTGTTTAAGTCTCTCAATTTAAAAGGAAATCCTAAGTAAATTCTCATTACAAATAATCTATTGGTAATAACAATATATATCATATTCTTTGTTCATTTCTTACAAACACATGGACTTGTTCGAAATAACTATTTTGCCCACTAAAAACATTTTTTTTCATTTTGACACTTAAGAATTTCTTAAATCATAGAATATGATTTAATCAAGAGGGACATAATTCTGATGAACACAGCAAGTTTATTTACAGTTAATGCAACCTAAAACTTGTTAAAAAAACAAACATTACTTCATTATACTAAAATTAAATCATGGAGGCTCAATGGGGAGCTGAGCCTCCAACCTGGCAAACAAGGCACTGGGACATCCTATTCACATGCAGATAGTCAGACTGGATTAAAAAATAAGACACAACGATACGTTGTCTACAAAATAAACATCTTAGATTCAAATTCATAAATAGGTTGAAAGCAAAAGAATGGGAAAAAATAAGACCATGAAAAAGTAACTATAAGAACTGGAGTGGCTATTATTAGACAATAGACTTTAAGATACAAAAAATTACTAGAAACAAAAAGGGACGTTTCAATACATCAGAAAGATATAACATTATAAATTTAAACATACCTAACGACAGTAATAGAACTGAAAAGAAAAATAAACAATTCAGAAATTTTGTTTTGTGGTTTCAATAGCTGACTCTTAATAACTGAAAAAAGAACTACATGGAGAATCAGAAAAAATACAGAAGACTTCAGCAACATTATCAACCAACTTTACTTAACCATTTATGGATTATGGGATGCTCCATCCAACAACACAAAACACATTCTTTTTAATTGCACATGGAACATTCTCTGGGATAGACCATGGGCTAGGACATAAAGCAAGTCTTACTGAATTTTTAAAAACTGAAATTATTTAAAGTATGGTTTCTGACCACAATGGAATTAAATTAGAAATCGGCAACAGAACGTAATTTAGCAAATTCCAAATATTTGGAAATTAAAAACATACTTATAAATAAAGTCAAATAATGTATCCCACAAGGGAAATCAGAAAGTACTGTGAACTGGATAAAAACAAAAACACAACATACCAATATTTATGTGATGACGCTCAAAAAGTGCTTAGAGAAAAATCTGTAATTTCAAACACTTAGGAATGAAAAGAGGTCTAAAATCAATAATCTAAGCTTGAAAAATTAGAACAAGGGCAAATTAAACCCAAAGTAGGCTGGACACAGTGGCTCACGCCTGTAATCCTGGTACTTTGGGAGCCCGAGGCTGGTGGATCACCTGAGGTGAAGAGTTCAAGATCAGCCTGGCCAACGTGGCAAAACCCCATCTCTACTAAAAAATACAAAAATTAGCGGTGGGGGCGGGGCATCTGTAATCCCAGCAACTCGGGAGACTGAGGCAGGGAGAACTGTTTGAACCCGGGAGGTGGAGGCTGCAGTGAACCAAGATCCCGCCACTGCCCTCCAGCCTGGGCAACAGAGCGAGGTTCCATCTCAAAAAATAAAAATAAATAAATAAATAAACCCAAAGTAGCCAGAAGGAAGGAAATTATAAAGATTAAAGTAGAAATCAGTGAAATAGAAAACAGAAAATTATAGGGGGAAAAACTGCTTTTCTGTTTTTGTTTGTTTGAGATGGAGTCTTGCTCTGTTGCGATCTCAGCTTACAGCAACCTCTGCCTCCCAGGTTCAAGCTATTCTCCTGTCTCAGTCTCCCGAGTAGCTGGGATTAGAGGCACCCGCCACCACGCCTGGTTAGTTTTTTGTATTTTTAGTAGAGATGGAGTTTCACCATGTTGGCCAGGCTGATCTCAAACTTCTGACGTCAAGTAATTCATCTGCCTCAACTTCCCAAAGTACTGGGATTACAGGCGTGAGCCACTGCACCCGGCCTATTCTTTTTTTAAAGACAAAAAAAGGATAAATTTTTAAGTGAGACTGATCTAGGAAAAAAGAAAACATAACTTACTAAAAACAAAAGAGAGGACATCGCCACAAACACTACAGACATTAAAAGGAATATAAGCAAATATTATGAACAACCTAATGCCAATAAAATAGTAAAACAGATTAATTCCTAGGAAACATAAATTATCAAAAAAACTCTAAAAACTCAAGAAAGAGAACCTGAATAGACTTTTATAAACGAGACTGAATTAGAAATTTAAAAACCGGCCTGGCGCAGTGGCTCACACCTGTAATCCTAGCACTTTGATAGGCTGAGTCGGGTGGATCACAAGGTCAGTAGATCGAGACCATCCTGGCTAACACAGTGAAACCCCGTCACTACTAAAAATACAAAAAAAACGTGGCCAGGCATGGTGGCACGTGCCTGTAGCCCCAATTACTCAGGAGGCTGAGGCAGGAGAATCGCTTGAACCTAGAAGGCAGAGGTTGCAGTGAGCCGAGATCCAGTCACTGCACTCCAGCCTCGGTGACAGAAGAGGACTCTCTCTCAAAAAAAAAAAAAAAAAAGAAAAAAGAAAGAAAGAAATTTAAAAACCTTCCCAGAAAGAAAAGTTCAAGTCCACATTTTTTCATTAATTCTATCAAATATTAAGGAAATAATGCCAATATCAATCCTACACAAACTCTTTAAGAAAAACAGACTTAATGGTAAAAGACCACATAGTTTCTCCTAAGACTGGGAACAAGGCAAGGATGTACACTCTCATACTTTTATTAAATGATATACAGTACAATTAGGCAAGAAAAAAAAAAACTAAAGGTATTCTGATTGAAAAGAAAGAAGTAAAACATGTTTAATCGCAGACAACATGATCCTGCACATAGAAAATCCTTTCTAAAACTCTTAAATTAAAAGAAATTATATAACAAATGTGTTCTGCAAGGTCACAAGACACAAGATCAATAAGCAAAAAATTGTATTTCTAAACACTTATCAATAAACAACTTGAATATGAAATAGATATAGCAATTTCATTCACAACAGCATCAAAAGGAATAAAATACTCAGGAATAAATTTAACAAATGAAATGCAAGATGTACACTGCAAACTACAAAACACTGCTGAGAGAAATTAAAAGAAGACATATGAAGAGATATACAATGTTTACAGATCTGAACACAAGACTGACAAGATGTTAACTCCACCAAACTGACCTGTAGAATCAACATATCCCTAGAAAACCTCAGTAGGCATTTTTAACAGAAACTGACAAGCTGATCGTAAAATTTATATAAAAATGCAAAGGCCAAAGAATGGATAAAACAATTTTGGGAAAAATTTTTTTTTAATTTTGCAAATCTCTGGACTTGCCTGCTTTTCAAATTCATCTTGTACACTGCAGTCAGTGTTTTCTAAAATACAAATCTGACTTTATTAGTATTCTTTTGCTAAAAATTCTGGGCCAGTTTCCCTCTGCCCTTAAGATGGAGCTTTTTTCTAAAAATGATCCCCACAGCTCTTGAGACCTAACCAATGATTTAACTGTCGTAGTTCTTCCTTAGCTTCATTTCTCACCTTCCTCCACCACACAAATTTAAATAGCAGCCATATGGAATTAATTTCTATTCCTGGAAAGTTCAACACTTTTGCTTCTAGGTCATTTGTGCATGTTGTTCCCCTTGTAACAAGTTTCATTCCATTTTTTGCTTCCTCACCCTCCCCTGCTCAACTTCACCTAGCTCTTCTCTATTTTCTACTGGGTATCAACTTAAATGTCAATTCTTTAGGAAAACCTTCCTGGAACATCTCTAATAAGATTGTATTAAGTGTCTCCACTATGTACAACACAGATGCAAAATGTTTTAAGAAAGTATCTTTGTAGACATTTAGATTCCCCCTGTCAAAAAGGAAATTCTATCCCTTATACTCATTATAATAAGAGATTATATTTTATTTATTTTTGTCCCGTTTGAATTTTTTGA